AACGACTGGTTTTTGCTGTTTAACGTAAACAAGTGTAACTTCCTACGAGTCGGCGGATCCAGTACTCCTATCAAAATGGTCTACCGCCTAACTGGCAAACCACTACAAAAAGTCAGCGTTCAGAAGAATTTTGGCCTGTGGATCACAATTTCGCTCAAACCTTTGCTGCGCTGCTCAAAGGCAGCCAATTCGACGATGTCCATCCTATACTTCGTCAAACGGGCGTTCTTGCCCTTTGATGAAGACTAATTTGCCAAGGTCATCCGGAATTTTGTGTGACTGCATCTGGAATTTGCTATACAAGCATGGAGACCCTGGACTGCTAAAGAACTTAGCCAACACCAAAACGTTAAACGGGATGGCAACGAGACTTGTAACTGGACCAGGGTCACAACCCTACGGAACGCGATTAGCCAATCTTGATAGCTTTCCTTTGAATTACAGACAGCTATGTGGCGACCTTATTCAAGCTTTCCGCATCCTGCGCAATCAGGACTGCTGCCTTGTATCTGCAGACTTTTTCCAGTTGGCGACTACGACTAACCTAAGAGGTCATCCAACGAAAATACGTGTGACTGGTGTCCGGCTAGACACACGGAAGTCCTTCTTCTCCAGCAGTGATCCCTGCCAGCACTAGCCCCGCCTTGCTCCATCAAAAATGGCTGAGCTAGAGGGGGCTATGAAGGGGCTAGGCGGGGCATTCAATACGACAGCAGAAGATCAAGTTTATTAGCGCAAAATGACCATCTGTTGAGGAAACTAACTAGCCTTTGGTCCTGGTCACCCTATAATTAACCCTGCCAGTACCAGCCCCGCCTAATCCCCTCAAATATGTCGGGGCTAGAGGGGACTATGAAGGGGCTTAGTGAAGCTGTATTAGGGGCTGTGGCGGGACATTCAAAACGACAGCCCCGCCTGGCCCCACCAGCGAGAAAATGCACAAGAGACGCCAGATTTCTACACACTTTTGGCACTCCTTTAAAATATTGACCTGTTTGATGAGTCCCCTGAGGCGCACACACATAATACCTGTCGGCAGAAGTTTCAGAGCTCAGAATAGGCATTTCTTGTTCGGGGGATTGATTTTCAACTGCTGTCGACGTCGAGGGAACCTCAGACTCAGGCTCTTCAGTGACCTCATAATATGCCTTCATCTGGCGCTTAATGCGCTTGTATCTGGTGGTTCGGTTACAGCCACAGTAATGACGCTTCATAATTGCTTTGGATATTCAGTAAAAAACGATAAAAATTTGCATAAGTGGACTATGAACCCCAGTGCTAACTAGTGCATACAAAGACATACAAGTCGACTACTTGAAATGGTTTGTGAGTTAGTACCCAAACAATTAGCATAAGATACATTGGTGGACGCACGATATTATCCGCGACCCGTGGGCGTAAACGAATGCTATTTCCATGATTTATAAGCCAACTTTGATAAATTAGCCCCTTTTAATGCCAAAGAAGGTACAATGAGTGGTCATTTTGAAAGATAACTTTCGATGCAAATACGTTTCAACCCAGAGGGAGCTCTGGCCCCATCCAGCCCAGCCTACGAAGGGGCCATGTGCTGGCAAGGATTGCAGCTTGGAATATTTGTCGGAGGACGTTATGTCTGGATTCGAGGAATTTTTTTGAACGGAAGCTGGATCAATATTGCAGTGTACGCAACAATACTACGCGGCCGCAACCGTCTTGATGGCCTATTCCAACAATTAAATGCTGTCATGAGGCTACTTACGCTATTTTAGTAACACTTGTCTGTGTAATTATCAATTCTCGAACCATGGCGCACGCCACTGCTCGCATACACCGAGATGCTTGCAGACTACAAATCTTATTCATTTTCCTGTAGCTTAGGTGTGCTCCATATATTCACTGTATTAATCAGCATACCGACTTTATATGCCCTCAAATACTGTTAGCGCACGAAATACCGTGTTCTTCTGTACAGTGAGAACAAAATGTCGGCTGCATTCTACAAGGGCTGCTTGGGGGGTATTTGAGATTAGACATTTCTGCGAGCATGGTACACAGAGACCGTTCAAGGGAAGTGAAGCAGCTGTCCCAGTCCACTTTGTCTGTTTTATGGCTTATCTCTCGAAACAACTTAGTAAAGCTTAAAAATAATGTAGATTAGGTGACAGGACAGCCGACTGCAGGCAAGCAGGAGATCGAGAAGAATTTTAAGACTACCTGTTAAAGGTTACATACAGGCGACCAGACCCTGACTCTGGCATCTAAAGGCTAGTGGTTCTAAAGAGCTGCGCTGCTCAGGGGTCATCAGTTATCAAAATATGTTTAAAGAGGAAGTAAATGTGCGGCGACTATCTGGGGAACACTTTGGGTTTCGTCAGATCGAACGGAAGACAACCGTAGGGTAGAGAATGCAAAATAACACCCATAGACCATATATTCGTCACAGGACTGCGGTCAGCACTGACTTGTTCGACAGACAGTTTACAAACGACTCAACCCCCCGTCGACAGCAATACCAGCAAAGCCTCATTCTTCCAACGCCGAAGTCCAGTACAGCGAGGATTGAAGATTAGGAAGAACAACTCACCGATCAGCAAGGCTGAGGAAGTCCAGTGCTATCTCGGCCGAGACGAGGCGAGGAATTGCTTAGCGGACATCGAGGCAGTCTAAGATCCACAAGTCAAGGGTGATGCGCCACCGGTGGGCCAGGATGCAGCAATCCTGCTGACGCAGAAATCACAGACCTTGGAACGCTAGGTCGCGAACTTCCCCGACGTCTTTTACCACCAGTCGACAATACGTGAAGAAGCCATAAATCGATATGCTCAAGTGGACACCAACGACGGCCTAGACCACCTGAATTCCCTTTTTGAGACAATCAGCGCAGTGCAACAGCTGTCCAGTGCCAAAGCACCGAAAGCTGACGTAATTCCTGCCGATATCTATAAGTACAACGGTCCCAAATTCATGAAGGGGCTTAGTTAAATATTCCAGAAAGTACATCAGGAACAGGTCTCCAGAAACTTCAAAGATGTCATCATTCTACGTCTACAAACGCATAGAAAACTGGCACCTATCTGGTGACCACAGAAGCATCTCCCTTAGTAATATAACAGGAAGTCCTCACCCATATTCTGAAGGGAGTTCTGGAGCAGGAACTACTTTCAAAAAGCTTTGCGGATTCTGGCAATGCCTGTCACAAACATAATCTCTGCGTACTGCCAACTGCAGGAAATATGCCAAGAAATGAGAACCAACCTCTAAATCACTACCTTCGCCAATCTGATGGAGGTCCTTTACAGAGTTAATCGCGACAGACCCTGGAGAGGCATGGCGGAGTTCAGATGTTCCGAGCGATTTACACAACTGAAGGACAACTTCACGACGGCATTGAGACTCGCGACACTAAGAACGGTGCAACCTATGGAACCTACGCGGTTAACAAGGCGGATGAAGTAGGGCTGCGTACTCCCTCCCATTCTTTCCAGTCTCATGTTCTCCGCCATGCGAAATAACACAAACTGAGCACAGGATATCTTTGATGTCATGTCCCTCTTTGCTTCTATTCCCCAAGATCTGGCGATCGAGAGCATCGAGCCACTTCTACAAAGCAAATGCGATGAAACGGAGGATAGTCTCGGGCAGGTACTAGTTCTTCAGTTCATGAAATTCTGTTTCAAGACGTACTTCATGTTTCACGGAACAATCTACAAGTAAGTGAACGGCACGGCCAAGGGTTCGCCGATTCTTGGACTTATCAGCGATGAGGTCCTGCAACGGTTAGAGTCGCTAGACTTCCAACACCACAGACTGAAATTCTCGGCCTGGTATGTTTATGAAACCATCCTTATCAACTGGGGTCGATTGCTGGCATCCAAGGAACATCTCAACGCTGTCTTCGCAGACGTACAATTTACGGGGAAGGAGGAAGAAAACAACAAAGTGGCCTTCCTGAATGCCCTCATATGCCAAAAAGACTGCGGTGACCTAAAGACTTGAGCGGTCGGGAAAGCGACAGATACCACTCTAGTACCGAATTCCAACAGTAACCATCCAATCTGCCACACAGTTGTGTAAGGACGCTCTATCGGCGTGTTGAAACGCATTCCAGTGAGCTGGAATGCACGATTGCCGAAATACGATACCTTCGGGGGGTGTTCGGAGCCAATAGCTACCCGCGCGAATTCGCCGACCTGTGCATACGCAAAAGGGACAAAAGGCCAAACCGCGTGGACCCCAAATTTTAAAGAGTGCTTTCATACGTCAAGAACGTTTCGGAATTCGTCGGCCGCCTTCTAGCACCACTTAGGGTTTAAGTTGTATACAGACCGGTGGAAACCATCAGGCGTCTGATAATGTGACTGAAAGACCCACTGCAGCGGCAAGAAACGCCTGGATTTGTCTATCGGATCTGGCGCAGTTGTGAACAAAGCAACGTCAGACAAACAGGAAGACTGCTCCAACCGCGAATGCTCGAACACGCGGTAGTCGTGCGGAGAAATGACGCCAGTTCTCAAGTGTTAGCTCATCCGACGAGATCCGGCCACATACTCAAATTCGACGAGGGTCGGTGGGTCAGGTGGTCGAGCAATCATCAAACAAACATCCAACACACTTGATGAAATTGCAGCGATTAGAGACTCGAATGTCGGTCATCGAGCAACCAGCACACCATGT